GGGAACGCTCTGGGACAGTGGCCATTATTCTGTATCTCGATAAGGATTTGAGTTACACAGGTGTACACACTGATCAAAACTCAGCAAATGTACACTTGTGTATTTCATGGGATACAAATTTCACATCAAAAGAGAGAAAATAAGCACACAATGAACTCTAGTTAATGCTATGCTGCCGAAATGCATCCAAAACATAAGATGGACCGACCCATGGAGGGATGGATACATAAATCACATGGGATAAAAACCAGCATTGTGAAATGTTAAGGGTAGAATCTAGGTGTCTATGTCCCTTACCTGGGGCTGTTCTGGTACCATGGAACTAGAGCAGTTCTGAGCTTTAACACACTGGTGCATTCCTGATAGTTCCCCCGTGGCTTACATTCAACCACACATCTCAGCAGGCCAGTTCAAGCCCAGCCCTCGGACCACCTAACGCTGCTGACCACTAACTCGGTGTGCACATGGGGGATGTCCAGCCAAGGGGGGCCTGGGGTCCAGGCACATCTGAGGCAGTGACAGAAGGAAAATGGTCCATCACTGGACCAGCTTATTTGCAGCATCCTGGCGGTAAGCCCATCTACCCCCCACCCACAGAGTCTTAATCTTTTACTAAAGAATTAAACATAAATCCAGTTGGGCCCATAATAGTAATGAATGATGAAGCCAGTTTGTTTGTTAGAGCCATGCTCCCCAAACTCAAGTGTGCCCAGGGGCCTGGAGATCTGCCTCAGTTGTCGGCGTGGGGCCCAAGGCTCCCAGGGCCAAAGCTGCTGGTTGGTGGGCTACCCAGAGGCAAGAGGCTTATCTGTAGGGGCCAGTGGGGGGACAGGTCAGCAAACAATGCAGACACTGCTAAAGGGCATGACAGCCGAGGGCTGTTGATGGGGGATGGGTAAGGTGGTGCCCACAGGGAGCTGCAGCAGATTAACATCACTTTGCTGCATCCAAAAGTCAACTTGAGTACAATTTCACCAGCTTTAGTGAATTTAGTCTGTGATAAAACCTGAGTCTGAGAAACAAACCAACCTAGGGGTGCCCAATAGCCCCCAAGTCACCCAAGTGACAGGTCACCAACAGTCACTGTTGCTCTCAGGCCCTCTGCTTCCCTGAACAGTCCTCTTACCATGCCCCCCTCATTCCCACTGCCCCAGCCACATGCACCTTCTCTCTGTTCCCAGGACCTCTGCACTTATTCACAGTCCTGGAAGGGCCTGGGAATTCTTCCTCCAACCTTGGCCACTCCTTCTTGGCAACAGTGTCTTGGCTCTGATGTCACCTCCTCAGAGAGGACTGCCCTGACTATTCAGTCTAAAGTGACCAGCCAGCCACACCCTACCATGCATCTGGGGACTGTTGGTTACTATGACATACCCCAGCCTGTCCTGACTGATAATGGTGGCACTCAGTGAAACTTGTTGAATGATGGGACAAGAAAAGTCGCAAGCTGTCCACCAGGAGAATGAGCATTACTTGATGGCAGGGAGGGGTGGTGTTGGTGATAAAGGACATACAACTCAGGTTCATGGTGGGTCTGAGATAGCATAGTAAAGGCAAGTTTAGGCTTAACCAAAGGAGGTTTTTACCCCCAGGGAAGGGGAAAACCACTGGCCTACAGGGACAAACCACAGAGATCCCTGAGCAAGGCAGTTCCAGCAAGAGGCAGTGCTTTAGAAAGCCGGGTTACTGTTCCCAGATGCCGGGCTCCTTCAAACCCTGACATGCACATGACAACCAGAAAGGTGCTTGACACATGGAATGTGTGAAGAACTTATCTAAAGAACCAAAGAACACAAATGTCGGGAAGACCCCCTTTAAATGGCTTGATTTTATTTATGGTCCCCCTCTCAGAGCACTGGAAGAAAAAGGCTGAGTAGGCTGATTTGTTTATTCCAGCATATATTTTATTCACTTTGCACTCATGGTTACTCTCCTGGGACCAGAGAACATTTCCAAAGCTGAAACATGCCCTTTGATACAAAGATGACCTCCACCTAGAAACAGACAGAAGCATACAGGACTGTGCCAAAAGCCTCCTCATACCTTGAATATTCATCACATTTGTGTCCAAAGACCTAGATCCTTCCTTGGGAACCTAAAGGCACCAAGTATTGCCAAGGTGAACAAGAAGGGCAGCCCTCCTCCAAGCTGGGCAGTCTTGCGCCTGCTAATAGCCCAGCAGAGGTGTTTGGTGCTGGGGTCTACCACAAACAGAGACGTAAAAGCCCAGGAGACCCTGCCGGGCACTGAGATGTTGTCAGGGGACACACAGTACCTGTACGTGATCCTCACTTCAGTTCCAGGCTCATCCCGCTCCCAGATCAAAGCGACACTCTCCGGGGACTTCTGAACATGCTGATCCAAGCAGTTGACTGCACAAAAACAGTTTTATAGATGTTACACTTGGTGCTTTTAAAGTTAGATAAGAGGAGGGTTTGATTTGCCATGGCTTGTGCTATTCTCCACTGAGGTGGACCCTACCCTCCTCAAAGGCAAGGCTTCTACCTCCTTGCAAGCAGAGTGATTGCTAGAGCCAGCAAAACAAGACAACCTGTACACAAATAGCATCTCACAGGTGCAGGGTGATCCCTTGTGAACAGTCTGAAGCAGGTGCTTCACACCTGTGGTCCCAACCCTGGCCACATGTGGGCGTCACCCAGGACAGCCCCAGGGACCCTGACTCAATTGGCCCTGTGGTTTTCAAGACTCCCTGGGTTGTTCTAACATGCAGCTGGGACTGAGCACTACAACCTGAGATGTTGGAAAGAATGCTTAATGCAAACAGCCTGCCCCTGATTCAGTACACAGTACATGCGGTAGTCTCTGGAATCTGCTGGAGGTGCGATCCAGGGCAAGGACTCATATCCCCTCAGATGTCCAGCCAGCACCCTACAAACCAGCCTCTGCTCCAACAAGTGATGAAATGATGGGGAAATGCCATGCTGGTTTTCCGGAAGACTCTGCTTCCCGCCCTCTCTGTTACCCAAGCTCAGATCACATGACTGCCTGCAAAAACAGGTCAGTTCTGACAATTTACTATAAACCTGAAGAATAGTAGGATCAGGTAATTTGCTAACATTCTGTTCATTACTCTTGATTTCAAGGTGAGCTTCGATCTGATAGGTTCATGCTGGTGCTCCTTTCTATCAGCCCTCACAGCCAGATCTCATTACTCACTTCCCTTCAGCCGGAGAAACAATGACCGAAAATAGCTTTTGGAGCCAGCAGCCATCTGCCCACCTGGTCTTCAAGGGTCACCCCCAATGTCCAGGCATATAAATTTTTTCTTTCTTTTTTTTTTTTTTTTGAATGCAGTTACTTATCTTCTCCAATCTCCTCCCGAAGCATTATCTACCATGTTTAATCACAGGACTATGATAGGAATCAAATAAAAGACCAAAGCTGAAGTGCTACTGTATGAATGCAAGCACCATGCAATGTGCTACAGGGACTTCAGTAATATTTCTTGATGGAGTAACTGTCTTGACAAAAGTTATGAGAGACCATACCCATAAAAGATCATGTGATTCTCATAATTCTTGAGAGGGTGAGCCCACGTGAAAATATTTATATACTTTAGCTGTTGCATGTGAATTACATTTTTTCCCTCTTGGGTTATTTTATCTATCATTTACTCTTATAATAAAAAATTTCATTTGGGGGCACCCTAGGTGGCTCAGTTAGTTAAAGCGTCTGCTTTTAGCTCAGGTCATGATCCCAGGGTCCTGGGATCCAGCCCCACATCGGGCTCCCTGCTCAGCAGGGAGTCTGCTTCTCCCTCTGCCTCTGCCTCTGCTCCTACCCTTGCTTGTGCTCTCTCTCTCTCAAATAAACAAATAAAATCTTAAAAAAAATTTTATTTGAGGGTGCCTGGGTAGCTCCGTTGGTTAAGCGACTGCCTTTGGCTCAGGTCATGATCCTGGAGTCCCGGGATTGAGTCCCGGCTCCCTGCTCCCTGCTCAGCAGGGAGTCTGCTTCTCCCTCTGACCCTCCCCCCTCTCATGTTGTCTCTCTCTATCTCATTCTCTCTCTCAAATAAATAAAATCTTTAAAATTTTTTTTAATTTTATTTGAACTTTCTGGCTCCTAACAGACATAGAAGTTATACCTCCAAAAATTTAATAAATAAAGATAGATGTCATCAGGAAGAATTATTAATACTAATACTACTTACTGATACCGGAAAGTTCTTTGAATTAGTAGAAAAACAGAAGAAAAGAAATGCCATAAAAATAGAGGATAGAAAATACAAGAAGTCAAATTGAGAAAGAGGTTGGTGGCAAAACCAGGATTTACACAATAAACCTGATATAAGTGCGTGTGTGTGAATCAGTTCAAAATTTAGAAATCAAGAGTTTTCACACTAAAACCACAGATTTCTGGCTTCTCTTGAGCAACCAGCAGATGAGGCCACATCCTGTCTGGAAGCTGAAGCAGTGACCATCCCCCAGTAGGGCCAGGCCCTTTCTCCCTCCCACCCCCAATTTCCCCACTCCCACCACCAGCCCACCACCCACAACACCCCACTCCTGCTGCCTGGCCGTGGAGGACCTAAGTGATGGACTGGGAAGAGGTGACCCTGGGCAGGTCACAACAAGCCTGGAAGTGCCCAGCTGAGAACCCACAGACTGAGTTACAGGTGTGCACTGCGTGGGGTAGGTGGTCCAGCTGGAGGAGGGTGCTGCTCCCACCTGTGCACGAATGCTCCCTGGCCCCTGGCTGCTTCAGGCATCACACGTGAGTTGGTTAGAGGAGTAAACCCTCAGCTTCATCCTAAACCTGCTTCTATCCAAGAAGCCTGCTCTACCTTCTCCCACTCTGAGTTTGACCCTTGGAGTCACCCTGAAAAGTGGACAGCCCAGGGGTAGCCTGGGAAATAGTTTCCAGGTGCTCTGAGTGGTCCAGTGACCTGCCTAAGGCCACAGCCAGAAAGCAGCAGTAAGGGCCTCAAATCACACATGACACCTCACCCAGGGTTCATCTCCCCACATTGTCTATTCCCACAGCAGCCAGGGCACCCCCTGAATGATTGCCCAGCTTTGAGCCAAGACCCTCACAGCCTCGGACCCCAGCAGGGCATCCTGCACCTGGTTTATGCCAAGCAGGAAGGCAGAGCTGCAGAAAGTAACAGAGGAACACCGGCCACAGGCTGGACTGGGTATCCAGGGTGTGGATGGGTGGCCAGTGTCTGTCTTTCTGGGGCTGAAGGATGGCAGGAATCCAGGCAGGTCAGCACGGAGCCCCAAGTACAGTGTCCCCTACGTGCCTCCCCCGGCACGTAGGAAGTGCTCAACAAGCAGCCACTAAGGCTCCATGTGATTTAACCTCCCCCCCACCAATCATGTTGAGTCTAGTGAGCTCCTTCCTGCCTCAGGGCCTTTGCACTATTTCTCCGTGCCTGGGGGACACTGTCCTACTGTCCACACTGCTGCCCCTCACCTGGTGCCCACACTCCTGTAGGTCTGGCCTGCACATTTCCACTCTCACTGAGCACTTCCCATCCCGTGGACCTCATGCCTCCCTCTCACTGTTCCTGAGGTGTTACACTTGCTGCCCCTCTGCAGACAGGGACCCAATGTCCTGTCCATATTTGTGCGTGTGCGTGTGCAGCCTAACCCAGAGCACAGGGCAGAGAAGCACCACGGCTCTGAATGGTGGACGGACCATTCAGGTCCTCGAGCTGGAGGGCGACACTGGAGTCTAAATGACTCCAGGTTGGCTCTGTGCCTGGGGAGGGAACAGATCTCTTCTTGTCTTAGTGGCTTCATCTCTCAAGGTCTCTTTCTAGTCTAAATTAGCGCTTCTGAATCCCCCAGAACCCCCAGAGGGCTTGTTAGCACAGAGATGGTGCCCACCCTCCCCCCGGCCGTCTCTGACAGAGCAGGTCTGGGTGGGCATGTGCATCTTCGCCTCTAGTGAGATCCCACATACTGGTAGTGCTGCTGGTCCAGGACGTCCCCTATGCTCCAACAGACAGACGCATGTGCTTACAACTACACACATTCTATCCCAGATTTGGGGTGGGGGGACTTGCTTCTTCCTTGGGGGACAGAAGTAATTAAAGACTTTCTGTAAGACATCTGGCCAGACCTTTGCTACATAGCAGCCTGGATCGTAGGGAAAAACCACACGCTGGAGTCTGGACCCTGTCCAACCACCTGCTAACCACAGACAGTGCACTGCTTATCTAATTTAAATCTCACTTCCCTCATCCGTTGTGGGAGTGATGGCTCCTGACTCGGAGACATGGTAGGAATGAGATGCTTTGTGGGTTTCCTGCATGAGGTCAGATGGTGCTACTGTGTTCCCAAGGGAAACAGCATTACAGCCACCACGGACGATACTCAGATGACACAAGCATGTACACAAAGCACAGTGCAGGGCCTAGGGTGACAGTGGCCCTAAAATGCCATGTATGTGTTGGCTTTTAACACGTGGGCATGGTTCCCGCTATTGCCTCAACTGCAGGGAGGAAAAGAAAGAAAGGAGGGAGGGTGGAAGGAAGGAAATTCTTCCTTCTCCACATTTGAAAACAAAGCCTCCACCCAAAGAACTGGGCAGTGGGACAAGAAAATTCCATTTCTAAGAACAAGCGGTTAAGGACCTAGCACGATTTAAGGCTCAGCTCAAACCCCACCTCCTACTGCAAGCCTTTTCCAACTTCCCAACACACAGTGACCTCTTGCTCCCTGTTACTTGGTGGCTCACACCATTTAGTGCTTAATTACCTGCCCAGTGGTCCCCACTCTGGGACACAATGCTAGCTTTGCTAAATCCTCCCTTATCCAGGTCACAAATCCCTGAGGACAGGGACCATGTCCCTAAGATTCCTTTATCATGGGGTTGGGGTGGAGGGGATGATATCAGAATTCTCCCCTTAGCAGCTATAAAAAACCTTGAGCAAGTGCCCCAGTGTGGATTTGCTTGCTCACTGATTTGTGGTTCATCTCTTGGAAGAATGCAGGCTCCGTGGCATTTCCGTACTGTTCATCACTATACATGAATTGGAGTCTTCATTTCCACATCTGTACAATGGACCACCAATCACTTCACATCAGTGTCATGAGGATGAGGTGAGATGAGGCTCCATCATATTCCTAAGAACACATCTGCACCCTGGGCCTAACACAAATCTGCAAACAGTTAAGCAAATGTCTGCTGATGGTTCATGGGTATTGAGGTTTATTTAAGATTTTATTTATTTTATTTGAGAGAGAGAGAGAGAGCACAAGCGGGTGGAGGGGCAGAGGGAGAAACAGACTCCCTGCTGAGTGTGGAGCCAGATGCATGTGTAGTGCTTGATCCCAGGACCCTGAGATTAGGAGCTGAGCTGAAATCAAGGGTCAGATGCTTAATTGACTGAGCCAGCCAAGTGCCCCTGAGTTTTGTTTTTTAAAAGAGATTACAGTAAGATTATCATTTCCATTATAAAGATGACATACACTTATGTAGGAATTTTCAAGAACTCTTGTCAGTCATTTAAATACATCTCTTCCCCGGAGCAAGATGGCGGAGGAGTAGGAGACCTGAATTTCATCTGGTCTCAGGAATTCAGCTGAATAGGGATCAAACCATTCTGAACACCTACGAACTCAACAGGAGATCGAAGAGGAGAGTAGCAACAACTCTCTGAACAGAGAAGCGACCACTTACTGGAAGGTAGGACGTGCGGAGAAGTGAATCCGAGGTGATAGTCAGGAGGATAGACGGCGGGGGAGGGGCCTCCACCGGCCACTTCTGGCAAGTGATAGAGCCACGGAGCACAAAATCGGAACTTTTAGAAGTCGGCTCCACTGAGGGACGTCACTCCTGGGGCTAAGCTGGGGGTGGAACCCTCTCTGGGACAGTGTGGTCTCAGGACCCTCAGGGTCACAGAAAGACTGGGGGTGCCTGAGTGCAGCAGAGCTCCCAGGTATCGGAGCGGGGAAGCCGGCTGCAGAGACGGAGCCGAGGCGCGGGCTCTCAGCTCGGGGTTGCCATAAACTGTGATCCATGGCACATTCGAGCCACCGCTCCTCCAGCAGGGACCAAAAAGCGGCAGAGCCGGGGAGACTCCCCTTCCTCCCCCAGAAGGAGCGGCGCGGAAGCGCACCACAGGGATCTGCTGGGTTTGGAGACTCCACACGGGGTCGGGTGCCAGAGATAGAAACGCTCGATCACAGGCCGGGTGAGCACGGAGTGCGGCCGGAGACCAGGAAGATGGGAGTGACTGACTGCTTTTCTCTGGGGGCGCACTGAGGAGCGGGGCCTCGAGTTCTCAGCTCCCCAGGGCAGAGATTGGGAGGCCACCATTTTCACCCTGGTCCTCCAAAGCTGTACCGAGAGCTTGCAGGGAACAAAAGCTCCTAAGAGCAAACCCGAGCAGATTGCTTAGCGTGGACCGACAAAGGCGGGGCAATTCCGCCTCCGGCAAAGACATTTGGGAACCACGGCAACAGGCCCCTCCCCCAGAAGATCAGCACGAACAGCCAGCAAGCCAAGACCAAGTTCACCGATCAATGAGAACGGGAGAACTCCAGCGCTAGGGGAATGCTGCACATAGAATTCATGGCTTTTTTACCATGATTCATTAGTTTTTCAAAGTTAATTTTTTAACTGTTTTTCTTTTTTGGATTTTTCTTTTTCCCTTTTTCAACCAACATCTTATCAATCCCTTTTTAAAAAAAAACATTTTTTATTTTTCATTTTCAGAGTCAAATTTTATCCCTTCAAAGTAGTTACCCTTATTTTTGGCATATATATATATATATATATAAGTTGTTGTCTCTTTAAAATTTTGAGATACAGTTTATTCTAACAGATCAAAATATACCCTAAATCACTAGTGTATGGCTTTGTTCTAGTCTCCTGCCTGATCAAATTCTTTTTTTTTCTTTTTTTTTAAATCTTCTTTCTTTTTTAAAACAACTTCTTATCAATTCCTTTTATAAAATCTTTCATAATTTTCATCTTTACAGTCATCTTCCATCCCTTCATTGTATCAACCCTTATTTTGTACATATATAAGTCTTTTTTCCTTTAAAATTTTAGGAGGCACTTTCTTCTAACAGACCAAAATATGCCCAAATCTAGTGTGTGGCACTGATCTATGCACTAGCCTGATCATATTAGATCATATTCTGTTTTATTTTGTTTTGTTCTGTTTTTGTTTGTTTTTATCTTTTTCTTTTTCTTTTTTTTTTCCCTTTCTTTCCCTTTCTTTTCCCCTGGTTTCAGGTCTTTTCTGATTTGTATAGAGTATATTTGCTGGGGACATTGTTAAACTGTTAGCATTTTGTTCTCTCATTCATCTATTCTCCTCTGGACAAAATGAAAAGAAGAAAAAAATCACCTCAGCAAAAAGAACAAGAGGTAGTACCCTCTGCCAGGGACCTACTCAATACGGACATTAGTACGATGTCGGACCTAGAGTTCAGAATGATGACTTTAAAGATACTAGCTGGGCTTGAAAAAAGCATGGAAGTTATTAGAGAAACCCTTTCTGGAGAAATAAAAGAACTAAAATCTAAACAAGTCGAAATCAAAAAGGCTATTGATGAGGTGCAATCAAAAATGGGGGCACTAACTGCTAGGATAAATGAGGCAAAAGAGAGAATCAGTGATATAGAAGACCAAATGATGGAAAATAAAGAGGCTGAGAAAAAGAGAGAGAAACAACTACAGGATCACGAGGGCAGAATTCGAGAGATAAGCGATAAGATGAAACAATATTAGAATAATTGGAATCCCAGAAGAAGAAGAAAGAGAGAGAGGGGCAGAAGGTATATTGGAGCAAATTCTAACATAGAACTTCCCTAATGTGGGGAAGGAAACAGGCATCAAAATCCAGGAGGCACAGAGAACCCCTCTCAAAATCAATAAAAATAGGTCAACACCCCGACATCCAATAGTAAAACTTATGAGTCTCAGAGACAAAGAGAAAATCCTGAAAGCAGCTCGGGAGAAGAGATATGTAACCTACAATGGTAGAAACATTAGATTGGCAACAGACCTATCCACAGAGACCTGGCAGGCCAGAAAGGACTGGCATGATATCCTCAGAGCACTAAATGAGACAAATAAGCAGCCAAGAATACTATATCCAGCTAGGCTGTCATTGAAAATAGAAGGAGAGGTAAAAAGCTTCCAGGACAAACAAAAACCAAAGGAATTTGAAAACACGAAACCAGCCCTCCAAGAAATATTGAAAGGGGTCCTCTAAGCAAAGAGAGAGCCTAAAAGCAGCATAGACCAGTAAGGAACAGAGACAATATATAGTAACAGTCACCTTACAAGCAATACAATGGCACTAAATTCATACCTTTCAATAGTTACCCTGAATGTAAATGGGCTCAATGCCCCAATCAAAAGACACAGGCTATCAGATTGGATTAAAAAACAAGACCCATCCATATGCTGTCTGCAAGAGACCCATTTTAGACCCAAAGAAACACCTAGATTGAAAGTGAGGGGGTGGAAACCATTTACCATGCTAATGGACACCAAAAGAAAGCTGGGGTGGCAAACCTTATATCAGACAAATTAGATTTTAAAACAAAGACTGTAATAAGAGATGAAGAAGGACACTATATCCTATTTAAAGGGTCTATCCAACAAGAAGATCTAACAACTGTAAATAATCTATGCCCATAATGTGGGAGCAGCCAATTATATAAGACAATTAATAACAAAAGCAAAGAAACACATTGACAACAATACAATAATAGTGGGGGACTTTAACAGCCCCCTGACTGAAATGGACAGATCATCTAAGCAAAAGATCAACAAGGAAATAAAGACTTTAAATAACACACTGGAAGAAATGGACTTCACAGACATATTCAGAACATTCCATCCCAAAGCAACGGAATACACATTCTTCTCTAGTGCCCATGGAACATTCTCCAGAATTGATCACATCCTAGGTCACAAATCAGGTCTCAACCGGTACCAAAAGATTGGGATTATTCCCTGTATATTTTCAGACCACAAAGCTTTGAAACTAGAACTCAATCACAAGAGGAAAGTCAGAAAGAACTCAAAATACATGGAGGCTAAAGAGCATCCTACTAAAGAATGAATGGGTCAACCAGGAAATTAAAGAAGAATTAAAAAATTCATGGAAACCAATGAAAATGAAAACACAACTGTTCAAAATCTTTGGGATACAGTGAAGGCAGTCCTAAGAGGAAAGGATATAGCAATACAAGCCATTGTCAAGAAACAAGAAAGGTCTCAAATATACAACCTAACCCTACACCTAAAGGAGCTAGAGAAAAAAAACAGCAAATAAAGCCTAAACCCAGCAGGAGAAGAGAAAGAATAAAGATCAGAGCAGAAATCAATGAAATAGAAACCAAAAGAACAGTAGAACAGATCAACGAAACTAGGAGCTGGTTCTTTGAAAGGATGAAAAAGATTGATAAACCCCTGGCCAGACTTATCAAAAAGAAAAGAGAAATGACCCAAATCAACAAAATCATGAATGAAAGAGGAGAGATCACAACCAACACCAAAGAAATACAAACAATCATAAGAACATAGTATGAGGAACTCTATGCCAGCAAATTAGATAACCTGGAAGAGATGAGTGCATTCCTAGAGATGTATCAGCTACCAAAACTGAACTAGGAAGACATAGAAAACCTCAACAGACCTCTAACCACTAAGGAAATTGAAGCAGTCATCAAAAATCTCCCAAGAAACAAAAGCCCAGGGCCAGATGGCTTCCCAGGGGAATTCTATCAGACGTTTAAAGAAGATTTAATACCTATTCTCCTGAAAATGTTCCAAAAAATAGATATGGAAGGAAAACTTCCAAACTCATTTTATGAGGCCACCATTACCTTGATCCCCAAACCAGACAAAGACCCCATCAAAAAGGAGAATTACAGACCAATATCCTTGATGAACATGGATGCCAAAATTCTCACCAAAATACTAGCCAATAGAATCCAACAGTACATTAAAAGGATTATTCACCATAATCAAGTGGGATTTATCCCTGGGCTGCAAGGTTGGTTCAACATCCACAAATCAATCAACGTGATACAATACATTAACAAAACAAAGAACAAAAATCATATGATCCTCTCAATAGATGCAGAAAAAGCATTTGACAAAGTACAGCATCCTTTCTTGATCAAAACTCTTC